GTAAAACCATAGAACTCAAAGAGGGTGTACTTTCTTTTTCACACAACTGTATAGCCATCCTCTCCTTGTTCATTTTTGTTGCCTTGCCACAAAGAAACAACAGTAGCCTGAATGCAAGCTCTATTTGTCCTTTCAATTATTCATCTCACTTCTTTAGAGGAACCACTTACTTGTATATTTTCTAGGTGACATCAGTTAGGGGATGAGTGTGATTTGAGACTTAATCAATATTCAGTTAACAGATAGGAAAGTTTGGCATGGATAGTCATATTATACTGGTCAAAACAAAATCTTGTCCAGTGAATTCTACTGAATAACATGCAAGCTTAAAACTGATGCTATAAAGCATTAGCCAATTTCATATACTGAGTCCAGTAAGATAAAACATTAACAAAAGTACATTTTCATATTCATTTAATTTCTTTACTCTAAAAATGCATGAAAATATATCAGCTCCAGCCAATCTGTAACAGTAATATGCCATACGAAGTTCAGTTCAGTTTCTGTCTGTCAATTCCTAACAATTCTATTCTTATAGTTAAGATAGTTTCTTCCCAGTTCTGCAACAGTTTGCAATAATAAAAAAAGAAAAACTGCATGTAAAGAAGTCAGTGAAATTTTGGCTGCATTAAATGTCTTAGTATTCCCAGTTTAAAAGCATTTCCCCCCAACGTGATGTGTTATGTATTATATTCTAATTAATTACGTGATCTTGTACACATTTCATCTATGTGTACGCTTACAAGGACAGCTTAATTATATGACCAGTGTGTCAGCAGATATAGCTCAACCTTCTACAACCTGGAGGTCTCCAGATGCATGGGATCAGCAACTTCATATGGTTGGACTGGCTGTGAATTCTAGGAGTAGCAATCCTAACATCTGCAGTTTGGGAAAGTTGGTCCTTCATAATGTAATTGACTCAACAGGCTGATAAATCTGGTTTGGATTATGTTTCTGTAGTGTGGAATCGACTTAATTTAACAATAACAGTTAAAGGATGAGACATTAAACATAAATCTTGGTCCAGCTTTGTTTTTTTATACTTGTGGTTGTGCAATTATTAAGTGTTGTGCAATTACTGAAAAGACAGGATGGTTAGTAATTAACGTGTCAGAAGAGGATTGGGGCAGTTTGGGTTCAGTCTTTACTTAGCCATGAAGCTGATATACAGCACAGTGCAGACATTTTTCTTCTACATAATTGACTTGGTAGGCCTTTTCTGAAGGTGAAATGGGGTGGGGATAGGGCAAGGACAGGTATACCGTCATAGTTCCTTGAAGCACAGAAAAATGTTAAAAAATGTTTTCAAAAAAACAGGGATGGTCTCAAAATAAAATTAAAAATGGAGACTGAAACCCTAGAGGCTTAGAATGTATGTGTGGGAATATGCAATAAATAAGATAAATAAATATATGAATAAATAAATGGAATGGAGGAAAAAGTAGAATAAAAACCTAAATAAACAATTTTAGAGAGGTTAAATATAACTGCTTATATTATATTTTATAACTGCTTATAAGTGCTGTGAAGAATATCGGAAACTACTTCTTTATTTCTCTATATCTTTCTTTATATCTTGCTCTTTTTTTCTATTTTCTTCTATTTTCTTTTAAGCATTTCCCCCCTAACGTGATGTGTTATGTATTATATTCTAATTAATTACGTGATCTTGTACACATTTCATCTATGTGTACGCTTACAAGGACGCTTTTCTTAATGTACTTTTAGCTTTTTCTGTTTTTTTTCACTTTTTCTGTTCTAAATTAGAGAACTAGTGCAGTTCTTATTATTGTTCTTAAAACTTTTAATAAAAATTATACACACACATACATACAGACACACACATCCTAAATAAACAATTGCCTATATCTTTAAAATAAAGCCTGTTCTCTGAAAGCTGGCCTTAAACAGCAAAAAAACAAACAAAAAAAACCCAGACTGGTCTAAAAAGAGCTACTTGGCTAGTTGGTATATATCTAATTACCACTAGAAAACTCATAACATATGACTTTTTTTTTTGTTAATCTTAAAATGAAATATGATCGGTGCCCACAATCCAATGAAAACATCAATTATCACATTTTTAAGCAGCCTTCTTATTATACACCATATGCCTTGTAATTAACAACAGTGTCATTCACTCACACAGGACAGGGATTTGTATACAAAATAACAAGAGATGGATATCAAATAAAGTGGGAAATTATTACATCAATATTTAGTTATACCAAGCAAAATCAATTTGCAAAATTCAGTATAATTTACCTTTTCTCCCACTTCACCTTTGTCCCCTGTCAAGCCATGTTCACCCTACATTTGAGAGAAATGTAAAAATAATTTTGGTTTTATGTTGCTATGTTTAAGTGAAAATCCTGCTCAAAGATTATTTTTAAAGAATGACAAAATATACTTTTAATTCACAAGAAAATAGATCTACTTCCACTCTTTTTTATCATCTTCATCTGGAAAAAATGCTAAGGTTCTACACTTTTTGCATCATTAAAACAGAACACTTCAAAACATAACCATTGGACTGCCTCTGTGAAACATGAAACTTTGAACAGGAAAAAAAATCTGCAATTTTACAAAAAATACCCACTACATATCTGACAAAAGAAAGTTTTATCTGAATAGATTGAACTGTGCTTAGTATTTTTCAAAATGGAATAAGAACTGTGCATCTTCACAATTTCTTGTAAGATTATATTTTGACAGAAAGACTTTACCAACATATGTTTTACTGAAGTACCTGTTAGTGCTAATAATCTTTAGGAGTTCACTATTGCACTGAACATATTCCTTCTGTCTTATCAAAACAGGCACACAAATGCCAAGCATAAAAACAGCCTGATTTAATAGCTAAGGTCACTGTTGTGGTATTCATACTGACAACACCATTGCAGTAGATAAACACTGAATGCCATTTCTATTGGTGTACTTTTTGTAAGTAATAGAATAGCCTGGATGTAGGATTTCTATTGACTTTGTCCTTGAAATTTGGTAAAGAATGTACCCAAGTTCTGTTTCTGTAAAAAGCATTCATTATTTTAGATAAAATAACTGCTTATATAAGCAATAAGGGCTTACAAAATGAAAGCTGTAGCTTTCTGATAAAAGTTGAATGCTTCTTAAAAATTTAGTAAGCATTCAATAAAAATGCCTACATATAGTGTAGAGTTTCTTTGAATATGCATAAATAAAACTATTAACCCTCTGAAAACACATACATGTTGCTTTTTAGATCAGTCTTCCACAGCTGGAAGCCATGTTGGATTTTAAGTTCCCCAATTTCTAGAAAGAGCGATGGCCATATCTGAATTATGGGAGCCAAAGCTCAATATACTGGAAGGTATCAACTTGCAAAGAGAGATGGTTTTATTGCTAGCAAATAATATGTATTATGGAGTTCTTTTTATATTCTTCCTTTTAATAGATTTACTATAGTAAAAATAAATACTGGTGTACAGTGGGAAAACAAGGAAGGGTTCCAAATGTAAGTTTATTTTATTGGGCACTTAAAGTCTGGGAACAAGGCACAGGAATGACCAAAACTGGAAACACACCCTCTAAACTGAAAGAACCTCCATGCTACAGTCCAATAGCATTCCACTGTTGTCCTCCTCAACTAAATTTTTAGCAGAAAAAGAAAGAAGAGGAGTTAATGGAAAAACAGACAAGGATTCTCAGTGGAAGATGGCAGAACTTATGTCCTCTGTAAAATTCTGTGAATGAGGCAGGGAGATTCCACAATAAAAATCTCAGCTGGAAGGCTACACTGTCTTACTGATGTTATCACAACAGACAGAAACCTATCTTTCTCTGGGATCTTAAGATGAACATTTTAGCCTGAATGTATAGAAACTCAAATAATGAACTAGAAGGGCAGGAAAAATGGTGAGTGGTATCAAGTAATGTCCATCTGCAGAGTACAACTTCTGCAAACAACAAAAAGGAAAGTTAACTCCCACTGATATTTGGAATACTGTAACTTATTGATTAATATAAATAATTGCACAATAACTATGAACTTCTACTTGACAAAATGGCAACATTAATATGCTCTTCTACTTGTGCAACTGCATTTAAAAGTTTTGTGTCAAACAACACCATATTTTCTATAGAATATGCATTTGGATTACTTATGGGCTTATTTACCTACTTATGATAACTTAACTTTTCCATCAAGGAGTTAAGGATGATATACAGGAAGTCATCTTATTTTACTGTTACAATAAGCTTTTGAATTAGGCTGAAACACAGGGATTTGGTAAGAAAACTGAATAGGTTTAATGGCCAATTTTCATTTCTGCTTATATAGAAAGTACTCTAGTCTTCTATACAGTACATAAAAACATGAAGGAAAAGGGAAGAGAGAAATAAGAAATGTCAGAACAGAATCATTTTCAAAGGCTATACATTGTCTCCACAGGAAAACCTCCCAGTCCTGATGGCTATCCCACTGAGTAATATTAACACAGACTGCTTCTTTTGCTCCTATATTATAGCAGGTGATGCTGTTTTGAATAAAGTTTTTCCAAATCTCTTTAATAAAACTGTGATACTGAAGATGGTAAAGATTCTGTTCATTGTGCATAAATCAGCTATTGCCTGATTTCTTGGTTAAACTTTGATACTAAAATTCGGACAGTGATCCTGGCATGAAGAGTACAAATAATACAATAATACAGACTACAAATATGTTCAGTTATCCATCTTTCTGTTTTCCAGCTGCTTTCACATAGGGACTTCAAGGCTTGGATAATATTAGATTACCAAATGACATTTGAGATATACATTCATAAAAACTGGAATCGGCAAAGGTGGCTGGAGGTAGAAGAGGCTTTCAACTTGATGCCGTTCAAATTTCTGTAGCATGTTTTGGTCAAATATGGATTTCCTTCTCTCTCTTTTTAATTAATGGGATTAGAATTTGGTATTCTAAAACTTCAGCCAGAGTTATTACAAAAAGAAGATCAGGAGGTCTTGTGGAACTCATCAAAGATGCCCTTTATCTCATCTTATATTTAATTTGAAGTGAGCCTTTAGTTTATCTTAGCAGGCAGGCAGAGTAGATTTTGAGCATAAAACTAGTGGGAATTGAATGCATTTTTATTACATAGCAATGTTGTTATACCATTAAACAAATATATCACTCCTTCTCTCATATCAAAATAAATCAAGTGATGACGGTAGATTGTGCACCATCACTTGCATGGTTATTGGAAAGAAACTCTGTCCAGAATGTTGACTTGAACAAGCATTTATGGAACAGGACACCAGTCAATTTTATTCTCTGTTCAATATTAGATACATTTGAAGCAGTTGGATCTGGCTAGCCACACCTCTGGCCTATGACCAGCAAAAATATAACTATAAAAATTCTCCTGCTATCTACTTGCAGTGCACCCCAAATTTGTGAAGCTGGAACTTGTTCTGCACCTCATTTATGGATATAGATTTGAATGCTTTCTCCAAAATCTGGCATCACAGCAAAACTGAGGACACAGGCTTCAGTTTTGCCCAGGACCTAAAGTGCAAGAAGAGAAGTTCTGGATATCAGAGAACGCTTATTATGTTGAATGTATTTGTCCCTCCTCAAGTCCTGTTATGTTGCCCAGCTGTGGTAGAGGTGGGGTGGTCCTGGGAAGGATGTATGAAGAATACTGGCAGTGGCATACACTCCCAGCAGAGTTGCCCAATGCATGAAGGTCATCCAAATTGCTCAACTAAACCAAGCATACACTTATATCAGGTAGTAGTGATGCTGCAGGTAGATGATCACTTTAGTGACCAAAAAAAAAAAAAAAGATGCAAAAGCATCATTTCATACTGCACAGGAGACAGCATAGGTAAATCACTCCTGTATTTAAGTAAGAAAAGCACATGGATGGACAAGATAGCAATTTATGATGTAATACTGAATGATGGGCCCCTCAGGTTGAATAGGACTCAACATGCTATTGAGGAAGAGCTTTGGAACCTTTTAGAGTACTAATGGTGTTTATGATAAACTATCTTAAAGCCTTTAGGACATGGCTGATATTGCCATGTAAGAACAGAAAATCCAAAGCTGCAAAAGCAGAATTATGGTGGGAATCATTTAATGTGACAGTTACCCAAGTTTATGCTCCAACCACTGATGCAGAAGAAGTGGAGTGACAGGTTTTATGGTCAAGTTCAATCTGTAATCAACAGAATATGAAAACAAGATGTACTGCTTGTGGTTGGAGAATGGAATGCTAAAGTTGGAAATGGTATCAAGGAAAACATAATTGGATTATAGAGCAGCAACAAAAGCAATTCAAATGCTGCGATATTCAAATGCTGCGATGTGTACCTTTGCATAGCTACAAAGTTCAGAATCATGCTGGCAGAGGTTTCCTCTGTGACACTCTACAGAAGCGAAAGCTGGATTTGACAAAGCAAGATGGAAATAATATTGAGGCTTTTGAACTTTGGCATTGGAAAAGATACCTGAGAATATGATGGATAACCAAGAAAAGAAACAAATAGATCATAGAACAAATCAACCCAGAGTTCTCACTTGAGTCACTTGAGGCACAAATGTTTTTCTCCTGCAATCTTGCTTTTATTTATTTTCTAAGTGTTTTTGTGATTGTGACATTGTTTTAATTGTTGGTTGTATGCCACGCAGATTCACATTCAGTGAGGTGGGCAGCTATCTAAATTTGATGAATGAATGAATGAATGAATGAATGAACGAACAAGCTCAGATTATCATATTTTGGACACATTATGTGAAGACCCAGTTCTCTTGAGAATTTATAATGCTGGGAAAGGTAGATGGAAAGAGAAAAATATGGCAACCTGAAGCAAGGGGAATGGATCTGATTTCAATGGTGATGGATGCACTGTTGAAAGGTCTGAAAGGCCAAGTTAGGAACAGATCATCCTAAGGAAGGTCTATCTATGGGGTTGCTATAAGTTGACACCAGCTTGAGGGTACACAATCATCATAATCATGAATGTATTTGTATTTTCTTGTTAATTTACTTGGTATTAGACAATTAAATAAATAGTAAATATTTCCTGTACAAAAACTTGTGCTAAAAAGGGAAGAGGACTGCTATTCTGACAGCCAAATGCAGACCACGGACCCAAAGATTATATATGTACCTTTTCACCAGAAGTACCAGGAACACCAACCAGGCCATCTTCTCCCTAAAAGAAATCATGAACTGTATCAACTGTTATTCATTGGTCATTCAAAAAAGCATTGCATTATGAAGAAATAACAATAATTGTCACCAACCACAAAATGTTATCATCTCTTGTTTATTTCGACAGGACAGTTAATATATATATTATACTAAGAAAACTGTCATGCTAACTAAGGTTAAAATGATCTTCTTTGCTAAAAATATTTATTTAAAATATTTTATCTATTTATAACAGAATCTGACCTGCTTTTCAAGAGAAGTAATCCTGAATAAGAGCCTATTTGACTGATAACTAATACATAATACATAATGTGGCATCTATAGGGTACAGTATTTAGACTACTCAACTTGCTTTTCAGAACATTTAATAATATTTGTTCACTGAGTGAATCACATGTGCAGATGTTGAAAATGTAGTACAGGCCTCATTTATGGGATTTTACAGGTGCCCTGATGAGGATTTTAATTCTCTCAATTTAATTTAATTTAATTTAATTTAATTTAATTTAATTTAATTTAATTTAATTTAATGTT